GCGCGCGCGCGTGTGTGTGTAGATATTTATAGATATTGTGTATACACATATATTTATAAACCCATCTGCAATATATGTATCTTGTAGTTTACATACTACTAAATTAACTTTACAACTAATAAATAAATATATTTATACCATTTAATAAATATAACTTTTCAACTAGAAATAAAGATATTCTTGATACTTATAAACACTATAATATAATGTTGTACGTGTATATATATATATATATATATATATATATCAATATATCAATATATCAATATACAATTTTTATGATATTTATTATATATATATAATATTTGCATAATATTTGTTATATTGCTATTCATAATATTTATTACAGTACAATATAATATTGGTAACTTTTATATAATATTTGTATATTATTTAACGTACAAATATGCTGTTCATAATATTTATTACATTATTGCGTAATATTTATTTTAAAAATGTGTGCAATATGTTCTAAACAAATCCCGAAAGGGATTTTAACCTTCTTCCAGCCTGGATCGAGAAGCTATTAACTTCCCCTCGAGTTTCATTGGTTATTGGATACTTTCTATTAAATTTCAATCCACTCTGATTTTCTCGAATTATCAATTAAACATTATTTTCAATAATCTACAATTCTACGCGAGAGAAATTTCGAAGATGTATGTTACATGAAACTGATGAAATTCTATATCAATTTTAGAGAGTTGAACAGAGATCTCATCGAAAATCAATCAAAAATTTGAAGATGAGCGTACAATTTACATATTACCGCGATCGTACGATCTCACAATAAAGCGAGCGTGAGAACTAATCGCCCATGGCGAACCGTGAATCATGTTGTGACGTGCTGTAACTAACATTCACCACCACTATCTATCCCCTCTCCTTTGCGAGGGAGAAGGCACGATTACATTACGAGCATGTAGTTCGTATCATATTAATGCAATAAATTCGTATCACTAACAATAAGTTTTACAAATTCGGTTGATGCATAATGAGAATAGTTCCGGGATAAATATCTCCTGTTGTACGTTAGCGATCGTAAGCTCGTCGGAGAGATTGTTTTAAGGTAACGAATGCCACCGCCATGAGGCAATTTATTGATATTTCGTAATTTCCATAATCGGGCAAAGAAAACGCTGAAATGCACACGTGTGTGTGTGTGTGTGTGTGTGTGTGTGTGTGTGTGTATTTGCAGGTAGAAGAGAAAAACGCGGAACGTTAGCCTTGAAGTTACTTTCAGTTGCAGCTTGGGGCGACTTTTCAAAGAGCTGCCTGTTGCAATTCCTGTATCGAGATCGAAGCACATCGTATTTAATTGCTCGTAATGGATCAACAACAACGTATCAACAACAACTGATTGACGTCCAGAATCCTATAAATTTCTTCCTGTATATAGGTATACGTACCATTGAAGCATGATTTTTACGCCGATACGACGTTCAAACATTGTTTGTTTGTAATTTTTAAAAGGTAAGGTCGCCATTGCGGCTTTTGTCAATTTGCGCAGTTGATTGGCAAAGCCAATGTTCCGTTTCTTTTTTCTTGTGGAGTCATTCCATGTGTGCATTCCATTGTATAGTGAGTCATTGATATATTGCACTTCTACATAGTGTTAATTTACAACTTGCAATGTCATTCGCTATATATGTAGTATTTTTCATTTCATTGGCCAATGATGTTGAGCAATTTCAATTTTGAACTTTTGATTTCTGATTGTTAATACAGTTGATAAAAGGTGTTCACAACATTTTCGAAGTAACACCATTAGATCTCATCATGAATACATTTTGGAAAGAACACAAATTGGCAACAACTGGTCCGGCTATCATGAAGAGCCTGGACACAACGTGCATCTGCAACAAGCGCATACATCATCCCAGCCGTGATTCCATAAATGGAAATGGGATAGAGAACGGGATACACATGAAATCTCAGTGCAATCAACCTAGAAGTTTCTTATTGATAGACGAGCAGGAATATCTGAGAGTTAGCAGTGCGGAACAGTTCATAGAAAAATTAAATTGTAGTGACAGAGATCTGGAAATAAAGGTGGTGTCGATCTTTGGCAATACCGGCGATGGAAAAAGTCACACTTTGAATCAAACGTTTTTCAAGGGGAAAGAAGTGTTTGAGACCTCGAACAATCAGGGTTCTTGCACTTTAGGTGTTTGGGCTGCACTTGATCCTGTTCTTAATGTGATATGTTTAGATACAGAAGGTTTATTAGGTATTGTAATATGTATTTATATTTGCTTATTGGTTATCTTGATGTAAGACTCTGTTATCTGTATTTAGGTGTTACTTCTCATGAGAATGAAAGAACAAGACTGTTACTTAAAGTTCTTGCTGTGTCTGATGTTGTTATCTATAGAACACAATCTGAGAAACTGAATAGAGATTTATTTACGTTTCTTGGTACTGCATCGAGAGCATACAGTCATCATTTTCAAGCTGCCTTGCAAGCAATAGGACAAAGGAAAGGAGTTCAAGGCTCCCTGAGTGCTCTGGGACCAAGCATTATAGTATTACATGAGACTAGATACACCAAACCTTTGACCAACAGTACATATTGCCACATTCTCAGATTGACAGTAATTTCAAAATAAGAGTTTATCCGCAAAACAAAATAAAATAATTAAATCGTTTATTGTATAATTAACGTGCTATTTTTTTTTCTTTTTTTCTATAGCAGATGGTTTAGAAAACGCGGAGGATATTCTTCGGATACGTTTTGCTCAAATGAAGCTCGAAACGGAAGCGTTTAATTCCATAAAATACGTGGGTATACAAAGAACAAACTCTATGACTGATTATGAACTTTTGCAAACAACCATTAAAAAAGAGTTGGCTAACACTACTGTCCGATCAACCAGAAAGCCGCATTTGGTTTACAACACATTGAAAATTTTAAACGAGAAATTTTCAGGAGAAATAGAGGATTTTTCTATTTTGTTTCCTGATCAGTATTTCACTTGTCCTGTTAAGTGTCTCAGTTGTGGATCTAGATGCAACAACAGCATGGGACATCTTTTAGAGGGAAAAGCTCACAGTAGCGAGAACAAGTTGGTCTTCATTTAATTATCACTCGCAGTGTACATACGTATTAAAAAATATACTATCGATATATGTTTCATTAGGTGTCGATATCAGCATCAGTATGAAAACGTAGTATATATATGCAAAAGATGTTATAGTAATGGAAATGAAGTTAAAGTTGTGAAACGGATACAAACTGAAAATGACAACAGCTGGTATGGATTAGTTAAGTATGCGTGGTCAGGAGATGTAATAGAATGCCCACATTGCGGAGAGATATACAGGAGCCGTCAATATTGGTATGGTAACAGCAATCCAGAAGATTTTGCCGTTCGTACAGAAATCACACACGTGTGGAATACGGTACGTAGATAACAAGTAATTGTTGTAAGTAATTCCATTGCGTTCTTTTTTTATTTTTAATTAATTATTTTTTCCAGACAAATAATTCAGTAATAACACAAAACACAGCACAAAGAGTAGTCGACGGTGTATCGTACATTACCGAAGCTGTAACCAATGTTTCGTTACAACCAACTAAAGTTTTCTCGGCATGGATCGCGGATCAGGTTGCCCCATCTTATTGGAGACCGAACAATGAAATAAAGCACTGCCACAAGTGTAAGACGATATTTGGACTAACCGATACGAAACACCACTGTCGAGCGTGCGGCGAAGGTTTCTGTGAACAATGTTCGTCCAAAACGAAGTGTGTTCCATCCAGAAATTGGCACACACCGGTACGAGTTTGTGACATTTGTTACAACAAGGATGAACCCGTTGAATCTGCAGACGACGTCAACGCTAGAAAAGTGTCGGAACAAGTGGTATCTACTATTAATGCAGTTGGTACTGTTTTAAACTATTCAAAATGTAAGAGAATATATATTTCAGAAGAAAAGCGTAATCGCGTCTAGATATTTGTACTAATGTCGGTTAATTTTTAATCCATTTAGCGTTTATCAAAGATACAGTTCGACCATCTTATTGGGTTCCCGACTCGGAAATCCTCAATTGTTGCATATGCTACCAAAAGTTCTCCGTGTCTCTCACTTTACATCATTGCAGAGACTGCGGACGCGGAGTATGCCAAAAGTGCTCGCAACATCGTAAACCTGTGCCATACAGGGGATGGGACAAGCCAGTACGTGTTTGTGACTCGTGCATAAAAATCGCCTAAGAAACATTGGTGAACGTCGATAAAGAGCATCGATGATTTCTTTGAAATATCAATCGATCTGCACAATATACATTGACGAATCGGATACCTCAACTTTTTCTCAGACTTTGTACGAGTTGCTTGCAAATTCATAAAAGTTGTTTGCGTAACTTTTATTTTTCTTCGGGCAATATATTACAATTCCTTCTCGTCGAACGAACAAAAAGAAGAGAAAGAAAAAGAAAGGGAAATTAATATTTTAATACAGTATTGTAAAAAGCGTTTCCTATAAATTGTGCCATGAGTGTACCTGTCTTTTTTATAAAATGTGTTTTTCAGAGAATGGCGGTAATTTAATGTTAAAAAGAGAACCATGTTCTGTGAGAGCAGGTTGTTGCTAAAAATTACAATATTCTACGAACAGAGTATATGGTGCAGTACGTTGTAGCAGTATGTAAATATAATACAAATGGAAAAGTTGTAGTAGTATGGAAATATAATACAATATTAGAGCGCAACCGTATTTATCGACACGATGAATCGAACTGTTATCAATATCGCGGTTTACTGGGCTGTGACTGTTTTTAGATTCCGAAAACGAGCATTTATCCTTTTATCACATAGCGCCCAGCGTATCTAGCTATTGCAGCTATCTATTTTATAATTTAAAAATGAACATTGCTTTCCGATAGATACTGTAATAAAAAAGAGAAAAAGGAGAAATAAATTGTTTAGATTTCATTGAAAATGGAATTTTATTATTGTCTGTAATAAACTACATCCACAGATCGTAATACGAAATGAACGCAAACGTCTCTCGTGAAAACGAGACGAGCGTTCACGCTTAAATGGCCTCATGGAAATCGTATTTTCGCGGGTGATTAACCAAGTACGATTAATCGATGTCGAAGATGCGATACGAGATGTTTCGGTAACCACGTGATGACGTCAAAACATGGCGTCTCAATCAGCTGGGTGTTGTGTAGATTGTGCCTGAGATGCCCGTCTTCAGAAAACGAACAGAGACCGTCGTCTGTCTACTCCGATACGTGAGTTCTTTTTAAAAAAAAAAACAAAAGAAACAAATAAACCTCGCATTGCTCGGCTTCAACGGCTTCTGTTCGCGGCTCGACGAAATTGAAACGGCCTCGCCAATCCGGACATACCAGGTTAAAAACGCGAAAGACGCAAAACGCTGTTTCACCTCTTGAATATTCCGACTTGGTTCTCGTCGTGCAGAATTCGAGCGGAGATTCGGTGATCTGCTGGGAACGTTGTGCAAAGTGCTCGTCGATTGATCGAAGTTTCGGGGAACGCTCAAGGAACGTTCGAATTCAACGACCTGAAAAATGACGCGTTCCGTAAAAATACGCGAAATATGGTCGACGGAGGAGCATCGTCAGCGCGTTTAAATCTCGCCTTTGTAACGTGTGCGATCGTTCTTTCGTCGTCGTGATCGCCGCGACGCGTGGCCCAGTGCGTATCATTCGCGATGTTGATACCGTGTTGTGTGCGAGCGATGCCGTAGCCATTTTCATATTTGCTCCAGTTTCGTAATCATTATCGGCTCCATGTTTGAATTCAACAAGTAACGCAGTGACATGTCCCGCTTGTACCCAAATTCTTTCCCATGTCTTCCATCGTTTCGTCTCGCGTTCGTCGACGTTCTCGCCTCGCGTGTTCGCGACGTCCTTCTCTGGGGAATGACGACGAGTCGCGAGTCTCCAAATCTGAAACCTGTACGCCTCCAAATCTGTTTATCACGTTCCACGTA